CTCAGGGCTCCCACTAGAGTCACCAGGTCCTTCACTACAACTTCCATATTGCTATGATCTCATCCCTTGATAGCCACTACTGGCTCGGGAACGGATACATATATCTTCCTCTAACAACATCAGAGTAAGGACCCCGTTGCGTCCCGAGAGGGCCGTAACAGGCAGAACATGAAACAATGGGTATAAATTGGATAAGTTTATATTTAGGAAAGACCTGGATAAATGTTGACCAGACCACATGCTAGAAGGTGACGGGACGACGACGTTTCGGTCCGTTCTGGACCATTCTCAAGTCGATTGTGAGTCGTCGTCCCTTCACCTTCTAGTGTGTGGTCTGGTCAACATTCTTCTTCAACGTTGTTGTGACTCATCGCCTGCGACCTGGGTAAATATTGGTTCGGTAACAAGGTTGTTGATTTGTGGAACCAATTACTACGTAACATAATAGAAGTATGATTGTTTCAATCATAGGTAAGACTTGATGATGTTTTCCTTGCTAACTTCAACGTATCCAACATCACTAACAAGAGCATGTTGGCACTATCCACTGACACTATCAATCGTATGTGGATTTGTGGAAACAATTGCCACATAACGAGGTGGATATTATGGTCCCTATATTGTTTCAAACGTGGGTTGGACATGTATATGAGTGCAATTGGGTGGTTATATATATAGGAGCTGACTCATATGGGCCAATAGGCCTTCTGCAGTTACATATGAACATACATAAGAACAAGGTAACTGCATAAGGCCTATTGGCCCATACGAGGCAGCTCCTATCTATAACCACCCAATCCCACTCATACATGTCCAACCCACGCTTGAAACAATCGAGGGACCCCACCTCCACCACGTTACGTGGTAATTGGTTCCACAAATCGACAACCCTGTTACCGAACCAGTATTTACCCAAGCCTTTCCTAAATCTAAACTTATCCAATTTATAACCATTGTTTCATGTTCTGTCTTGTGTTGATACTTTTAATACCCTATTAATATCCCTTTTGTTATGTCCAGTAATCCACTTGTAAACCTCTATCATGTCACACCTAACTCTTCGCCTTTCCAGTGATGCAAGTTAAGCTTTGTTAATCTTTCTTCATATGAAAGATTTCTAATTTGGGGAATTAACTTAGTCATTCTATGCTGGACACGTTCAAGTGAATTTATATCCATTCTATAGTATGGCGACCAAAACTCAACTGTATAATCTAAATGGGGCCTAACCAGAGCAAGATATAGCTGAAGAACCACACCAGGTGTCTTGTTAACATTTGCAAATTTGCCGATGATACGAAAATCGGTAGGGAAATTAATTCGGAGGAGGACTCACTATCACTTCAAGTTGATCTAGATAGGGTTTTGAAATGGTCAAAGGATTGGCAGATGCAGTTTAATGCTGATAAATGTAAAGTTCTGAGGTTAGGTAATGATGATAGAGTTACAAGATACGAGCTAGATGGTGTTGTGATTGCGAAGTCGGATTGCGAAAGGGATCTGGGAGTTATGATTAGTAAGAATTTAAAACAAAAGGATCAATGCATAAATGTTCGTAATAAGGCAAATCGGACACTTGGATTTATTAATCGCAGCGTTAGTAACAAGACACCTGGTGTGGTTCTCAAGCTATATCTTGCTCTAGTTAGGCCCCATTTAGATTATGCAGTTCAGTTTTGGTCGCCATATTATAGAATGGATATAAATTCACTTGAACGTGTCCAGCGTAGGATGACTAAGTTAATTCCCCAAATTAGAAATCTTTCATATGAAGAAAGATTAACAAAGCTTAAGTTGCATTCACTGGAAAGGCGAAGAGTTAGGGGTGACATGATAGAGGTTTACAAGTGGATGAATGGACATAACCGGGGGGATATTAATAGGGTATTAAAAGTATCAACACAGGACAGAACACGAAACAATGGATATAAATTGGATAAGTTTAGATTTAGGAAAGACTTGGGTAAATACTGGTTCAGTAACAGGGTTGTTGATTTGTGGAACCAATTGCCGCGTAACATTGTGGAGGTGGGGTCCCTCGATTGTTTCAAGCACGGGTTGGACAAGTATATGAGTGGGATTGGGTGGTTATAGAATAGGAGCTGCCTCGTATGGGCCAATAGGCCTTCTGCAGTTACCTTTGTTCTTATGTTCTTATGTTAATTACGCTTCGATTAATAAACCCTAGTGTCCTATTTGCCTTATTACGAACATTCAGGCATTGATCTTTTTGTTTTAAATTCTTACTAATCATAACTCCCAGATCCCTTTCACAATCCGACTTCGGAATCTCAACACTTACCTTTATTCTTATGTTCTTAGACATATATGAATGAGATTAGGTGGTTATAAATAGCAGCTTTCTTGTGTGGGGCCAGTAGGACATCTGCAGTTACGTTTATTCTTATTTTTAGGAAATACCTGGGAAAATAGTGGTTCGGTAACATGGTTGTTGATTTGTGGAACCAATTATCGCATATCTTGATAGAAGTAGGATCCCTTGATTGTTTCAAGTATGCGTTGGACTTATATATTAATGGGATTGGGAAGATATAAATAGGTGCTGCCTCGTATGGGCCAATAGGCTTTCTGCAGTTACCTTCATTCTTGATCCTAATTCCCTATTAATATCCCGTTTGATGTGTCCATCCATCCACTTGCACACCTCTACTAAGTCACTCCGAATTCTTGGCCTTTCTAGAGAATGCAAATTAGTACTACTTAGTCAATCTTTCTTCATATGACAAGTTTCTAATATGCAGGATTAACTTTGTTATTCTCGTATGGGCCAATAGGCCTTTTGCAGTTACCTTCATTCTTATGTTCCTAATACCATAAGAACATAAGAACATAAGAACAAAGGTAACTGCAGAAGGCCTATTGGCCCATACGAGGCAGCTCCTATTCTATAACCACCCAATCCCACTCATATACTTGTCCAACCCGTGCTTGAAACAATCGAGGGACCCCACCTCCACAATGTTACGCGGCAATTGGTTCCACAAATCAACAACCCTGTTACTGAACCAGTATTTACCCAAGTCTTTCCTAAATCTAAACTTATCCAATTTATTCCCATTGTTTCGTGTTCTGTCCTGTGTTGATACTTTTAATACCCTATTAATATCCCCCCGGTTATGTCCATTCATCCACTTGTAAACCTCTATCATGTCACCCCTAACTCTTCGCCTTTCCAGTGAATGCAACTTAAGCTTTGTTAATCTTTCTTCATATGAAAGATTTCTAATTTGGGGAATTAACTTAGTCATCCTACGCTGGACACGTTCAAGTGAATTTATATCCATTCTATAATATGGCGACCAAAACTGAACTGCATAATCTAAATGGGGCCTAACTAGAGCAAGATATAGCTTGAGAACCACACCAGGTGTCTTGTTACTAACGCTGCGATTAATAAATCCAAGTGTCCGATTTGCCTTATTACGAACATTTATGCATTGATCCTTTTGTTTTAAATTCTTACTAATCATAACTCCCAGATCCCTTTCGCAATCCGACTTCGCAATCACAACACCATCTAGCTCGTATCTTGTAACTCTATCATCATTACCTAATCTCAGAACTTTACATTTATCAGCATTAAACTGCATCTGCCAATCCTTTGACCATTTCAAAACCCTATCTAGATCAACTTGAAGTGATAGTGAGTCCTCCTCCGAATTAATTTCCCTAACGATTTTCGTATCATCGGCAAATTTGCAAATGTTGCTACTCAAACCTGAATCTAAATCATTTATATATATTATAAACAACAGAGGTCCCAGGACAGAGCCTTGAGGCACTCCACTTACAACATTTTCCCACTCTGACTTGATTCCATTTATACTAACTCTCTGTTTCCTTTGGTATAGCCATGCCCTAATCCAGCTTAATATAGCACCCCCAATACCATGAGACTCTATCTTTTTAATCAGTCTTTCATGTGGCACTGTATCAAAAGCTTTGCTAAAGTCAAGGTATACAACATCGCAATCCTTACCACTATCAACTGCCTCAACAATGCTAGAATAAAAAGATAACAAATTTGTTAAACATGAACGGCCATTTATAAAACCATGTTGCGACTCAATTATTAATTTATGTTTTTCAAGATGAAGACGAATTTTATTTGCTATTATAGATTCGAGTAACTTTCCCACAATAGACGTTAGGCTAATTGGTCGATAGTTAGACGCAAGTGATCTATCTCCTTTCTTAAAAACTGGTATCACATTAGCAACTTTCCAAAACTCTGGCACTCTGCCTGACTCTATTGATTTATTAAATATGGTTGACAGTGGGTCACAAAGCTACCCACCGGAATATTACCCTATTAATATTCCGTTTGATGTGTCCATTCATCCACTTGTACACCTCTAATATGTCACTCCGAATTCTTGGCCGTTCTAGAGAATGCAAATTAGTACTACTTAGTCAATCTTTCTTCATATGACAAGTTTCTAATTTGCAGGATTAAGTTTGTTATCCTACGCTGGGCGTGTTCTAGTGAATTTATATCAGAAAACGTATATTTTAACTTGTTAAAAATATTTTGATTCATATTCATAAACAGTCTACTCATGCACATGTATAAACATACATGCCTCGTATTGTCAGTTTAACTTTATTCTAATGTTCTTAGCAATTTGAATATTTATCGGCATCGAGAAATAAACAAGTTCCATCATCCAGCAACATCAGTCACCTGAGATAGCTGCTACATAACCCCCCGGTGGCCACAACGGGTTAGCTCATTACTCATTTAGCTCACAGACTACAAGGTTGGTCACAAGCAGTACCACCACTGCAGTCACTCTCTCCATCACCTGTGTTCCCTTACCAACACCACTCCCAACCACCAATCACCAGGTGTATTCAACAACAACCACCACATCGACAAACTTCACCAGCCCTCTTCCAGATATTTTCTGAAACACTAGCATGTCGGTAAGACGTTTAATAAAGTGGTCAAGTAACTATATATTCTCGTGTTTTTCATCATGAGCCAACAGTCTAAGATGGACTTGGATATTACGAATTGCAGCCGTGGGCTGTGGCTGGTCAAGGTACCTAAATATTTGGGGGACAAATGGGCAGACTGTGCTGGCCATGACGTTGGAAAGCTTAAGATTACCAAGGTGCCTGGTAAACCTCCGACAATAACCTTTAAATCTAGTGAACATACCTTGAAGGACGGGAAAATTCCTCGAGAGCACAAGATAATTTCTCATAGTTTAAAAGAAATGACACTCGGAGTTCTTTCTGAACCAGATCTCGGCAGCAGCAGCTCGGATGCTGCAGTTTCCGAGACACAGCAATTGTCCTTTGAGGGACAAGTCATCCACAAACTAGAATGTCAGCCTGTAGTGGACGACTACTATATCAATCAGAAAAGGGAAGCTGTGAAGAAAGCTGCCCAGTCTCTTCATACAGTAAAGCTTATTGACAGACCCCTCAACGGCTATAAGCCTATTTCACACCAAAAACATAATGTTCATTTAGAGCAGAAGAAGAAAGCAGGAGGCAAGACGATTCGTGATGATAAAGATAAGGTCATGGAGTTGTTGTTTGCTGCATTTGAAAACCATCAGTATTTGTTGGAAATTTCCAACACCGAATACAACACTGTTGTATTCTCATTAATTATTACTAATTCTACTAATCATTGAAGCAAGTAAAATTAACACAACGTAGAATTCACATGTACTAATAATCACATCTGTACCATAGGCTAGAATTCTCACGTCACCCGACGCCAGTATTGCGTCAGATTTCATTGTAATAAACACATTTATGTCCAATGTGCCTGAGAATTGAATTCGATTCTCTATAACAAAAGGTGTTCTGTGTGATAATTAATTACAGATAAATTGACCTCCAACTAAAGCCGAATAGAACGTTAAAGTCATAACAGTTATCTAGTAATAAAAATTAACGTCACGCGTGAATGCCATGGAGAGACATTAATTCTTCTCCATTATACGTTTACTATCATAGCACTGGCAAATAATAATATTTCACTCTTCCAAATGATAAACCCGTCCTAACTCGAACATTTCAAGCACAACCACGAGAAATGCTAATATCCATAATAATAACTTGGTTAATGAAAGCGAGACGCGGAGCGGGGAGGGAGAGGACGCCATTACACATGTTGAGACGCTCCCGAGCGGACCTGCTCACGTAGTGCTCACGAGGAGACGTCATTGCCCATCCATCCGGGTAAACGCTATTCATTCTCCCGAAGAAAGTCGCCACTGTGAGGCGTGAAGAGCCTTGCAGACAATATCTTCACCTGGTGTCAGTGTCATACAAGGAACCTATCAAATCTGGTTCTTTGTGACTCCACATGACCGGCCAGTGAAGCGCGTCATTATCCAGGATAGGCCAAGCCAGAGCCTGGGACGCGAATTTCGGCAAACTTAAACTTACACAGTGCCCATATTAGCTAAGTATCTTATCCTTATTTGATGCATCTGATAGGGTGTAGAATTATAGCTGGGTAGTTTGTCGTGACGACGCATAACAACAACAAATCACAGGTCATTATCCTTTACCCATTATTAATATTAATTTATTGAACATAGAAATCCAGTAGTTTAATTAGTTGCTACTGTAAACATTTATTTTGCAGCCTGTGAGAAGAATTCTCCTAGCTGCCTACTCCCATGTTATCCAGCTCCTAAGGGTTCCACGCCGAGCCCAGGAGGATTAGAGGAAGCGTCGTGATTCACTTTAAGGAATCGTCATTAAGCTAAGATTCCTTTGTATTCCTCTAATTGATTATTTGTAATTTCTTACATGCAGAACTCTTTTTATTGGATTGACATGTGTTTATTATGATTATTATTATTATATTCATAATCTATGTTCTCATTAATGATAATGACAATGATTTCACAATTATTCATGGGATTAGATTATTATATCTTGGATTAGTGAACGAACCACACTAGTTCCTGGACATACTGAGTTCCAGTAATAACCCCCCAATGTAGGTGTTTGAGGTTTGATTCATTTAATTATACAGCCCATTAATTATTTCTATGATCATATTGTCTAGTATTTTTATCCATAGTTACTGGTTCATCTAGGAATTATCAAATGGTCATAATCTCTCAGTTTCCCTCTTTACTTTAAAAGCGGGTGGTCCTTCGCAATTTAATTTACTACATTAATATTTAAATAATTAGATTCAAGTCCCCAAATGTCCCACATTATGGTCCTTCGAACCGGATATGCATTAAATTTATAATAAAAAAAATATTAATCATTAATAACTAATCCTTGTGTGACATAAGCTAGATTAACTATTTAATTAATTGTGTCAACTAACAGTGTAACACATCAGTTAGTCTAGATCACACTAACATATTGCTAATTTCACCTCATGTATAAGGTAGCTTTAGTGGGTCATAGCCAATTACCCACAACACTTAGACCTATACCTCACACAGAGGTGAGAATTTTTAGGTCACCAGGAGCAACAGCTCATAACTTTTATAATAACCCCACACTAACACCTGCGTTAGAGTGGCCTCACCATCTAACCATTATATACTTAGGTGGTAATGACATCCATCCCACTCGTCATCCAGCTGAGGTGATCAAACACCTCAAAGCCATAATTTCTTCTTTCAAGCTCATCAGTAAATCGGTAGTATTCACATTAGTGGAACCTCGCTAACCAAGTCAAGATAATCGTTGGAAGTAACCCCAGAATACTACCAGAGAGCTGCTAAGTACATAAATTTCAGGCTGAAAAAACGAGTGAGATTGGATGCCACATATATCCAATTTACAGCCAGACCTTATAGACAGAACCTGACCAGAGATGGTGTACACTTGTCAGGTGAGTCTAGGTTGCATGTGGTTGACAAGTTAATTAATACCATCAACCATCACAAACGGCTGTGGCTAGCAAGCCAAACTTAACTGTACATAATTGTTTCACCTGTGTGTGCAAGAGCACTCTTATAAAACAAAAAAACCAAAAATACAGCACAACTATATTCACCTTACTGCACCACAATAATCTTTACCAATGTTGTTAGGTAGAATTTGTGCTGAATTTGGTACAAGCCCAGACTAAATAACTTTATAGTTCTTAGTTAAGAATTATCCCGACTAGTCCTAAGCTAGTCAGTAGTGTATGTATTATACTATTTGTGCTGACCCTAAAAACAGGGTGGGATTAATTTTTGAGATAATTCTGATTGGAGTGTCTCCATAATATTTCTCTTGTATGCATTATTTGTGTATCTATTTTGTGTATTGCTGGATAATCCCCATTAACTCTGATGGTGATATAGAAGAGCTAACTGGACGAGAACTAATGGTGAAGTTCAGACAGTGCACAAAATATCTAGCTATTTGTTGTTAGGTAGGTAGGTACATTCAACCTCAAGTGAGGTAAAATATAAATAGCCACCTTAAATTAGGCTACATTTAATGTTACTTGTCCACTAATGAACAAGTACCCAAGCTTCATTAGTAATACATGTACTAATCCCATGAAGTTTGGACCTAAGCCCAACATGGCTACTCCTGAGCAATTGAGGAGAACCTACATTGGCCTTAAAGGTCATTTGACCAGATTAATTAACAAGGCTGAGGGCTTAACTAAAGATACTCCCATTGACTCTTATCACTTAGAGACATCAGTTAGAGTGGCTGCTCTGAAATTTGATCAAGTCAAATCTGCAGGTCAATCTTACCTTGATCTGCTAAATACTGTAGAAACCGATCCTGAGGAAGTAAGTCAAATTGTAGACGACATCTCCCAGTATGAAGATGCGACTCAAGATATAATTATCAGGCTATCTAAATTAGCAAAACAATCTGGATCCAATACCAGTAACACTGGGTCTCACTTCAATAATCAACTACCAGAGGTTCGTTTACCTACTTTAGACTTACCTACATTTTCAGGATTAGATACAGAAAATTGGGACAATTTTTGGACTTCCTTTGAAGTTCACATCCATAAGAAGCCGTCTCTAGACAAGGTTTCTAAATTTTCATACCTACTTAGTCTTCTCAAAGGAGAGGCTAAAAAGGTCATACATAACCTTACTCTTGATGAGAGTAATTATGAGGAAGCTATAAAACTCCTGATGTTGAACTATTGCAACAAAGAGTTAAGTATAGCTACCCTCTATTATCAATTGCTAGATCTGAATGCACCAGATAGTAGACCAGAGTCACTTCAAAGCTTCAGACTAGAAGTAGAGTCTCTAGTAAAGGCCTTAGGTACTAAAGTTAATATACCTGCTTCAGAATGGTCTATCAAGTTACTATTACAGAGGAAATTACCTCGAAATGTCTTGACAGAGCTCTGCTCACATTATAATACCGAGTTTCTCACTCTTGACCAAATTTTCGAGGGATTGAGGATCACGGTTAACAGGTTGAAGACTCATGATAAAATTAAAAGTGAGTCTAAACTAACTAGTACTGATATTTCAGTCAAACCTAAACAGACTCAGAGTAGGTCTAATAAATATAAATCCAAAACTACTCCATCCACTGGGAAAAGAAGTGGAAATGTAGGTACATATTCGGTGTCTCCTTCTGAGATAACCAATGACTTGTCTACTAAAGAGACTAAGTCTATTACCCAGAGAAGGTGTCTGTTCTGCAATCAGGGACACACCACTTATCAATGCTCTGTTTATCCTACTTATAATGTTAGGGTTAAAAGGTTGCAAGAATTGCACAAGTGCACCAAGTGCATGGGCTCTCATGATCCCAAGAAATGTGCAGTGCAGCTACGTTCCTGCAACCTCTGTAACCAAGGTGTACACCACTACGCCTTATGTAGAAAATCTTCTACACCAACCATGACCACTGGGGAGAATTCTACGAATTCTACCGCAGTGCAATATTGCAAAGTGCATCAAGAAGTAAATGTACTTGCTACTGAGTCAGGCAATAATACTACTCTGCCTACAGCTCAACTTAAACTAATAAACCGAAGATCTAGACTAGAGGTCTTTTTGACCAAGGTTCACAGAAAACCTTCATCACGCAACAGTTGGTAGATGAGTTAAATTTAAAACCTGCCAAAAGTGTGAGGTTAAATATTTCTGGTTTCTTGTCAAATAGTGGACCTCGTGACTACAAGGTAGTTAAAGCATTAGTAAGACTCGGATCTTCTACTAGTCCAATACAAGCGGTAGTAGTGGATAAACTTCCTACAGACCTGCAGGTCACAGGATTAGCTCGCACTGCGAGACATCTTAAACGAAACCGCATGAGGCTAGCAGATTATAAAATAAATTCTGACTGCCTCACAGATGTTGGAATACTTATAGGCGCGGATCATTATTACAAGTTTATAACTGGATGCACTAGACAACATGGAATGAATTTGTTGTCGTCCGCAGGAGGCAAATTGCTTACGGGACCGGTGCTTTTCAGACAAGGTCCAGCGTCCACAAACCAACAATCCAATAAGTAATCGTGGCGTGACTAGGCTTGGAACAGTCACCCCTACGTTTCAGGGAAATATCTGAGGATATTGAGTTTGACCCACCAATACATCGTTTGT